TTCAATTCCTCTCACCTATACATTTATTTTTAACTGGAAAGAAGGGAAAATGAAAGCTTGGGTCCCTAAACTTTAGGGAAATTCGATAAATGTGTTAAAACTTCAAAAATTCATAATTTGGTCCCAAAAATTAAAAGTAATTAAAAAATAAAATTTAAATCGAATTGAAAATTGGGGTGTTCCAAAAATATTACCTAAACTGATAGCCTCCTAATATAGGAATACGTAGGCAACTTTATTTTCCACATTCTAAGATACTATACATCTATATGTCGCATATAATTTTTAAGGAAATCTAGCCGACTTTTTTTTTATTAATTTAAGATAATAACACAATAAAATCTATTCAAAGATAACTCTCAACGTTGAACATTCACATCTCTAGTATTCCTGATACTTGAACTCAAGATTTCAATGAATAACAACAATTCATTTACCAATGAGATCGCTTGGTTCGTACAACTGATCATTTTTTTAAATAAAAAAGTTGTCACCATTTCTTTTCGTTAAACGTTACAGTTTAATTAAATTTTTCCTTAATTTTGAAATTTTAAATTAATATTAAAAAGTTAAAATGAATATTTTTATAAAATCATTTGTTTGAAATGATGGAATTAAATAATAATAACAAAGATAAACTCAGAATTCAAAATTTAATCGTTTTCAATTATTAATTATCAATAATATGTTAGAATTTGATATGAATTCAATGTCACATAAATCCATGGAAAAATAAGAAACCTAGTTTGATCAAAATAGAAAATTTATTTTATTTTAGGTAAAAATCTACTTTTTACTTTATAAGTTTCTTTTATAATCAAATTCATATTCCTAAAAACATATATTAGGGGTTAGGGTGAGAAAAATATTTTTTTCTTTTTTCAAATATTCTTGTATTCTTCTTGCTTCCATATTAGTGAATTTTTGTTAGCGATTTTTCCAGAAAGGGGTTTTGGTGTTATTTATTTTGTGATAATTTTACATCTATAATTATCGTGCTTTCATTGTAATAAACTAGTATCCGAGTTTCTTGGGTTAGATCCAACCAAGTTAATGGTTTTGATGAAATACAAATTTCATTGTTGGATCACAACATTAGGTCCTTGTTATAGCAAGTGAAATTTTTTAGATGCCCTTGCATAGTATGAGTTAAATGTTGTGTTGAAAGAGTTTGATAAGGAGATATCATCATAGTAGATGAACAATGAAAAGAGTAAGGATCAAAAGATCTTATCTAAGATTCATTTACACTTATCAAACTAAATTTTGTAGGATATAATGAAAGAAAATATGATTGCTTCTTTGTGGGTGAAATTGGAACAACTATACATGAAGAAAACATTAACTAGCAAATAACACGTGAAATAATGCCTCTACTCACACAAGTCAGTAAAAGGTGTGCCACTTGAAGACCACCTAACTATATGCAAGGATATCGTCTTCAACTTGGAGATCAAGGATATGAACCTTGACCAAGAAGACTTAGGATTGATTCTCCTATCGTCACTAACTTCGTCTTACCCGTCCTTTAGAGACATCATCCTGCAAAATAGTAAAATACTTACTCTTGCAAAAATGTATGATAACATGCACTTGTATGACAAGATAAAAATCATGCAGTTGGATTATAGTCTCAAACAGATGATCTCGTAGGTCATGGATCGACTAGTTATAATCGAAGAAGAAAAACATAACGTAATTCAAAAGGTAAAAACATGTTCAGGTCAAAGCCCTCCAAATCAAGGTTGTAATGCCTTGAATTCGGGGTTAGGAGTTTGGGCTAACCTAAGATGGAACTCGGATTAATTCTTAAGTTTGCAACCAAAGCTGGAAGGGCCAAGAATGTAATTAGACCAATTTTTGAAGAAAAGGTTGAAAACCCATTTATTTGGTGATCTCATGTTCTGCATTTCTCTTATCTCCTTTCTTCCCAAAACTTGTCTTCTTCTCCCAAGCATTCTTCTTCTTTAGCATTCAAAGTGAAATGTGAGATCTTTAGTTTCCTCTAAGTATTTTTAGCAGCACCAAGGTAAGAAACGAAATCAACTTTCTCTGAGATTTCATTTAAGCTTTCAACTTCACATTTCCACCTTAGTTTCAAATGTGGGTTTAGTGGGGGTTTTACAAACCCAAATGTTTTCAACTCAGTTTGGGGAGATTTAAACCTCTATGAGCATTTTAAATTATCCTCTAAGCTTCCCAACAACGTTAATGATCCTTGCTTTAATTTCTTACTAGTGAGGGAGATTGGAGAGAGCTCCAAATCTAAGGGGAAGGAAAACCTTGCCTTGGCTTAAGCTATTGACACTACCAGCAACCTAGACAGTCAGGTAACTCATTCCAAACTTGATTATACCATGTGTAGATCATTTAGATGAGATTTGATTGTTTGTATCAACTTGAAGCATTTTCATGATAGATTCATAATTTGGGTGTTTCAACATGTGTTAAGACCTATTTATGATCCGTAGTACAAAATAAAACACTTAAACGTCAGTTGGGGACCTCAAGGGGCTTTTGGGGTAGAAAAATATGATTTTTCGTGCCAAAATAGGGCACCCCGTAGCAGTAGTATCGGTACTCTAAGAACAGTACCAATAATGTTTTTCAACCAGGCATAAAATAGGAAATTTTTAAAGGGTCGTATTGATACTCATCCTAAGAGTATCGAAACTGATGCCTTGGTTTCGATACTAGCCGGGTTGGTATCGAGACACATTTAACAATATGCTCTTTTGGTATCGATACTCACATAAAGTCTTGATACCAGGGCAGGGGTATCGGTACTCCTAGTAGGGGTATCGATACTAGGATGTTTTCAAAACATCGAATTCAAGTTTGGTATCTATACTCAGTCTAGTATCGATACCCAAACACCAGAGTATCGATAATCATCTTAGAGTATTGATACTACCTCATCCAAACAACCTATACCAATCAGGGGGTATCGATATCAATATGTGGATATCGATACCACGGGATGTAGTACCGATACTGAAGGGTCAATATCTATACCCACGAACATATTCGAATAATTAATCCAATGATTAAAGGATCAGGCTCGAGGTATCCTATAAACACAAAATAACAACAAATAAGACTTTAAGTGATAACAATAATTAATATCAGAACAATAGAAATAGTAACAGCTAAGATTACATAAAACTAGCCTTCTCAATAGTTAAATCAATATCTTTTATGTACAGACCTTTGCCATGAACTATCTCATTTAATGAATGCATATAGTATAGTACAATTATTAGTGAGGCACTGAGCTCCTAAGCTCAGTGTTCATAATGTGTTTTTGTAAGTAGGTTCTTTAGGGCAAATCGTGGGGAGTTATCGTCACCAGACATTCCAGTGTAGCATACCAGATTCCCAGATCACGTCTTGAGTTATCTTTGGAGGGCATGTACTATTATGGACCCTTAAATGTATTCAGTCATAACTTTATTTTGTACTTAGTATTTGTATTGTTGGAAATGTTTTGGGAGCTCGCCATTATTCTGTAAAACTAGATTATTATTACCATGTTTTATTTTATTACCATGGATAATTTATCTTCAGTGATTTTGAAGTAGTTTTAAAGAAAATTTTGGGGTCACTATTTCGGTAGTCCCGTGTAATATGGTAATCCATGGATCTTCGGGTAGAACTGGATTAGGGTGTTACAGAGGTAAAACTTATAATTTTTCAAGAAGAATCACCACTCCATCATCTATAAAACGTCTAGTTGGATAGAGATAAAGGAGTACTATTGACGATTACTATGTTGTTATAGATGATGGACTTCATATTCAAAACAAAGCTTTGATTGTTATTGAGCCTTTTGATTTTCTTTTTTATTTTATTTATGTTTGAGTTTTTTTGACAAAGATAGTCCCTAAAATTATTTGTGTGATTGGTTTTGTTGTTAAGATTGTATCTTCTTTTGTTTTAATAAAACTCAATGTCATTGAATGAGTGAAAATATATGACTAAGATTAACAGTAAGAAATGAGAAGTTATTCACATAAAAAACAATGAAATAATCTTAGTCGTATATTTTAACTCATTTAACGAATCTAGAAGGTGAAAAGTTAAAAGTTTTACACCATGTGCTAGTGGACTCTAACACACACACGTATATGAGGTATGATCTAGTTACACAATATATAATATATTGTTTTATACCGATTTAGGATTATTGAATTAATGTAAATTGATGACTAGCATTAAAAATTGAAAATAAGAAAAAATTTGAAGGAAGAGAAATCTCCATCAATTTACACTCATCTAATATCCTAATTCCTAAATCAGTGTAAAATATTTTTATTTCTACAGTGTAAATGAATCTATATGTATGTGCTCATTTTGATCACTAAATTGATATTTTCATTTTAGTCCCTTTAAAAGTTATAAAACTATATTATAATATAATAATAAATTTATATTTTAAATCTTTACAAAATTTATAATTCAATTCTCGTCCTACAGATCATGCTTCATCGTTACCGGCTTTTGTGAGTAAAAAAATTATCTCCTTTTGGACGCATGCATTTACGCTGTTTCCTTTTGGACGCATGCATTTACGTTTCCTTATTAATTGCAATTGATAAATGTGGCATGCATATAGTGGCATAAAATACTTCACATTTTTTCAACGTGCGAATATATAAATCATATATGCTATCATCATTCCCACTAACTATATTTCACCTTTATTTTAAGATGCAAATTTATGATATAATGTAAAGTTTTGTGGCCTTAATTAGTATTTAATATACATCTATTCTATTGATAATGTCTCCTTAAAATTTTTATTTTTATCTAACTATCAAATTACCTTAACATTTGTTGTCGAATTATTAAAAGTATTCAGAATAAATATTAATATATAATTACTTTCATTTAATAAAAACTGAAACAATTGTCTCTCTTGTTTTTTTCCCCAATACCCATCTGGTTTTGTAGAGTTTGGAAATAAACATGTTTTAATTGATGGACAAGATTACCCTTGATTATCGTTATAAATAGGTAGCCAGGCTGGTTTGTGGTAAGCAAGCACAAGAGCGAAAAATACCAAAAGACCATCCATTCAAATTTTAATTACAGAACGAAAATGGCAGTGATATTGCCGAGGTTTATCGTCTTCGGACCCATCGACAAGCTTAATTACTTGAGCTATACCCGTGATGGCAAAGACACTGATGGGTATCTCCGATTCTTTGAAGATCAGGCCGAGAACCCGTACGCGAAGTTTGAGGTGGAGCTTTCCGATACAAATGGTTTGGTGCACGTAAGAAGCTGTCAAAACAACAAATATTGGGTACGAACCAAAAATCTTTCCCTCACAGGAAGCACAAGCAGCCAGTACTGGATTACTGCCACCGCCGACAAGAAGGAGGAAGGTCAATCCAAGGAGTCATGCACGTTGTTCGAGTTTATCACTGTAAACCCTGTTGAGGGTACGGTCCGAATCAGGCACGTCCAATCAGAATGTTATTTATGCTTATGGAGGTGGAGCAATCCGACGTACACTCGTTCTGTGTTGGCAAACTACAAGACTTACGATGGTCAAAGCTCTGATATCTTCACGGTTATTAATTGGAGTACGTTATTGATCCTGCCTAGGTACGTGGCCTTCAAAGGAAACAATGACAAGTACTTGTGTCTTCGTTCTATTGAAGGCCACCCGTATTTGCAGTTTGCATCTGGGGACATCGGTGATTCTACTGTGGCATGCGAGATTATTCCTACAAAAGACGGATACATCCGCATCAAGCAGGTTTCCAACAAAAAGTTCTGGAGGCGTAGTCCGAATTGGATCTGGGCAGACTCTGATGACACCAGCAGCAACAACAAGGACACATTGTTTCGCCCTCTCAAAGTTGACGATGAGACCATAAGTCTTATGAACTTGGGCAACAATCTTTTCTGCAAAAGACTCACAACCGAAGGCAAAACAGACTGCCTTAATGCAGCAGTCCAATCGGTTGCTGGCTTATCCCGACTAACGGTGGAAGAGGCTGTCTTGAGTCGAGAAATTTATGGTATCAACTATAGTATTGAAAACGCCAGGGCCTACGACGAAACAATCCTCGTCGTAGCCAAGACTTCTGCTAGCAACTATACCCAAGAGTCCAGCACTTTACAAGTGAATCTCTCGTATACAGATACCAGTACTAGAACATGGAAGACTAATTTTTCTCTGACGTTAGGTATGAAATCCAGTATGGCGGTCAAGTATCCGTTCGTTGCAAAGGGAGAGATCGAAATATCGACTGAACTTCAATCAGGAGTTGAGTGGGAACAGACCACAACATTCACCGCTGTTAAAGGAGCTGTACACACAATTGAAGTGCCGCCGATGACTAAGACAACGGTTAGTCTGGTGGCAACACAAGGCTGGTGCGATGTTCCCTTCACATTTATGCAAAGGGACACTCTCTATGATGGGAGCACCGTCATAAGTGAAGTTCAAGGTGGCACTTTCACCGGTGCTAATTACTCCAGGACCGTCTTTGAATCCAAAGAAGAGAAGCTGGAGTGAGTTAAACTATGCACACAACTTCAGCAGAAGGAATGTGTATCTGGTGTGTCTGCGTGTAGAATAAAATCATGTTTCATTCATGGGAGCATGCATTTACGTTTTCTTTTAGTTAATTGCAATTAATAAATGTCGCGTGCATAGCCTAGTAGCGGCTTTGTATCTCTCATCTCATGTTCTTTAATGTGAGAATGTATAAATCACGTATGCTATCTTTGTGTGTATAGAAACCAAAGTATTTGTACTTTAATTATAATATATGAGTTGGCGTGGTTATAAATTTTATCTATCTATTTTACGAAAATTAAGAGTTAAACTATGTATTTTAATTAATATTCATGTTTAATGACATTTTTCTTAAAATGAGAGCGACATCGGTCAATACTATAGCGAGATATAGTCTAGACAATTTATAAGAAAAATATAAAAAGGAACACAGAGATGAAGTCCAATGTACAAGAGTGTGCGTTATAACATTGGTCATGCATCAACGTGTAATTCGGCACACAAGATTAATAGCGTTGCTCACGCAAAGGCTTCAATCATGTAATCATAGACGGATGTAAGATTTTATGTTAGAGGGAGTAAATTTAGATTTATAAAATTTCAATAGATAAAAACAGATTTTTAATAAAAAATACATAAAAAATCTAAAATATATAGTATTTTTTATATTTTTAAGGGGCGACGACCCCATCCACCTCCGCCTAGGTCCATCCATGGCCTCAACGAGGCTCGCATCGCCCAAAACAGTCACCAGCAATGCATGACCAGAAACAATGTATGTGCTTATCACGAGCAACAAACCAAATAGTTGATGTACCTGAAGTAGAGGGATAAACTGTCCATTAGCAAGGATAACTTATGGTACGTCATATCACCTCAAATTTTGGTCGCACCATACTTAAAAAAAAATTATTAACCTAAAAAATTATTTTTCTTACTATAAACACGCGTGAAGAATATTGAACAAAGAAAACTTAATTTCTTATGTTTGAAATTTTTTATTTTCTAAGAAACAATCATAATATGAATATTTTTACCCGAACACGACCCAAAAACCTGCCAAAATAAGTATTTGGGTACCCGGCCATAAAATTCAAATATTTTTACTATAAATATCCAGTAAATTTAAATCAGGTGGACGGATCAACAAATTGAATCATCCTAGTTAAGTATTTTTGAACGCCATTAGTTTTGATCTATGAAAACAAGTTTAAATTTAGGTGTACAGTCATACAGTAGGAAGTTATTAGTACCCATACAACGCATGACTATTAAAAGTTACAAAATGGTCATCCGACTATTTATTATATTCCAAACTCGTCCTTTTCTGTTAAAAAATTAATAGTATTATGAGTTGAACGTTAACCTGCTGACTGTGATATAATAAAATATGATCTCAGAATCTCAAACAATTATCATATCTCAATCATCATGTTAACGTCCAACTTAGACAACCGTCAATTTTTAACAGAAAATGACAAATTTGGAACATAATGAATAGTCGGGTGATCAATTTGTAACTTTTAATAATCAATAGACTCAACAAAACAAGACTCTATAGTTAGAGCATCATTTTGTAACTTTTTATAGTTAAAAGATTTAATAATATAACATTTAATATTAGCTTATATATATATATATATATATATATATATATATATCAACATTAATTAATAACAAAACCTACCCTATCATTCTTGTTTCTTCTAGACGCATGCATTTACGTTTTTCTAGTGCATTGCAATCAATCAATGATATATGCATTTCCTAGTGGCAATATATCCCTCACGTTTTTTTAATGCAAGAATATATAAATCGTATATGATGTCATCGTTCATTAATCCATTTGCATACAAATATTATAAAAAATAACTAATAATAATTAAATGGAAATAATTTAACGTTAACCATTAATTTACACGTCTATATCAACATTTACTAAGAAAAGCATAACCCCTCGAAATCTATTAAAATTTTCAATTTTACCTATGTACTACGTAATTTCGTAGCCTCCTAACATATAGGAAAACGTAGGCAACTTCATTCTCCACATGAATAATTCATCCAAACTCATTATAACCTCGGAAAACCATGTTGAAGATAAGGCTAATACAATAAGATTTTCATATAGTTAAGCTTCAGGTTTGAGTTTGAGTTTGAGGCTTTAATCTAATTAAGTTTAAGATTTTTTTCCATTTCGAGCCTTTTCGAGCTGCTCACGAGCTTCAGTTCAGGATTTCGAGTTCGAGTCGAGCTTAAAAATTTTCAGCTCGCGAGTTTTCGAGTCGAGTTCAGTAATACTCGATCTCGACTCGGCTTGTTTACACCCCTACTGTAAATGAGACGAGACAGATCGCGAGCTACTCGAGCTCGACTCAAATTCTTAACGAACCAAAACGAACTACTTGATACTCGACTCGAAAAGCTCGTGAGCAGCTCGAAAATATAATATATTAAGATTTTATTTTTAAAAAAATAAATTATTAATAATATTAACATTTATGTGTTGATTTTTTTAAATGCAGTAAGACTTTCATGTATTTAAGGTTCAGGTTCGAGTTTGAGTTTGAGGCTTCAATCTAATTAAGTTTAAGATTTTTTTTTTTCCATTTCGAGCCTTTTCGAGCTACTCACGAGCTTCAGTTTAGGATTTCGAGTTTGAGTCGAGCTCAGCAATACTCTGCTCGTTTGCACCCTATTAGTGATAGGTACAAATCACAGCCTATGAGGGTTGAATATAAGAGACTATCAACTAGGTCCTTCATGTTTACAAATGTTAATGTTGTGGTAAACCTTACGTACGTACATTAATTTATTGATGTTTACTCGTGGGAAGTTATTAGTTAAGTTTAATGACCCTTACAAGTTTAGACTTCTGCTAATGTACTTTTAAAGTTATTGTTGTCACTTCCTTTTCTTAGTGAGTCTTCCTTTGGAGGCTTCGAATAGTTGTTTGTAGAGGTTGTGATTAAACGGACAGCTATCGATTGGCGATGAATCAATTGGCGCACAAGATTAATAGCGTTGCTCTCAATAATGATATACGAAGCAGCCAATTCAATCGCTAATCGAGCAGTCAATTCACTCACTGCTAACATAAAATATTGCATTTATCCCTGATTATAGACATGAGAGCATTGACATAATTTGTAATTCGTTTTTATTAGTAAATTATTTTAATATTATTATCTGAATAAAATATTATCATTTGTTAAATATTTGAATACATAGTTGTACAAGGAGTCTATCTACGTGTGCATGAAACATGTAGCTGATGTAATAAATGTTGCACGCAATACAAACCTTGTGTGCAATACAAGACTGAAGAAAATTTAAACTTAGAGATACGACACTAAACTCAGAATGTAAACAAATAACCTTATTTTCTTCGATCAATGGAAACGAGGAGGAATGCTCTGTTCATGTCTGAAGAAATTCTCTGGATCGATCTTCGACTTAACATAAACCAACCTATCGAAATTCCTTTTGAAATATTTACGACCCCAAACACTCGCTTGCTTATAACTTGTCTTGCCGTCCTCATCGTTCCGTCCGATATCGAGATCTCTGTAATTAACGTACGCTTCTCGAGGAGATTTCGACACAAATGGAGCCATATACGTATAAAGTTTCCGAATCCAGTTTATATACCTTTGAGGATTGTTGTTCTCCTCCTCCTGCCAGCCGATGTTGTAGTCTATCTTGTATAAGGTTCCTTTCCGATGTGGGAATGGAAGTGCACTCTCTGGGAATTCGTCCATTTTACCACCGTAGGAGATGATGTTCATAGTTGCAGTGGTTGCTACGTCCTCCAGAAGTTGGGACCATAGCCCTTGTAATGCAATCTCAGGCATTGGTTTCCTCACATAATCGGATTTCGCTTTGAATGCAGGACTAAGAAGGGTGCTCCTATAGGTCCTGTCGAGTAAAATCTCCGAGGTTTCGTTCGGAAGTTGTGACACAAACATTAGAGATCCGATCCAAGTCGTCTCGACGAAATTGTCCTGAACGAGTCCGAGTTCGGGGAATCGTTCTTGCATCAATGCCATAAGCTCATTGGCACTGCCTTGGAACACTGAAGTAAAGGTTGCTAGAACCGTCCTCCTCCCGGTTTCGGTACCGTTCACCGTCGATATCGAGACGACAGAGTATACGTCGTTCGGAAGATTGGGTGCGACGTATTGCCAACGATGGAGAAGCTCTGTTGCATTCTGTTCCAACGTCCTGCCTACAGAGAAAACTGTCACGGTTGACGGAATAGGAACCAACGTCACTTTCCACGAGAGAATGATCCCGAAACTTCCTCCGCCGCCGCCTCGAATGGCCCAAAACAAATCTTCGCCCATCGATCTTCTATCGAGAACTCTCCCGTTAGCATCAACTAATTGTGCATCGAGTACGTTATCCCCCGCGAGTCCGTATTTTCGGAACAATAAGCCGTACCCTCCACCACTAATAAATCCACCAATTCCCACGGTGTGACAGAGTGCACCGGGGAAGGTAAGATTCGTGGTTCGTTCATTGATTCTGTAGTACAATTCACCCGTGATGGCTCCGGATTGAACCCATGCCTCCTCGTTTTCGACATCGATGTCAATCGATCGAAAATGAACCAAATCGACGACGACAAACGGGACTTCAGAGACATACGAAAGACCCTCGAAATCATGACCTCCACTTCGAGTCCGAATCTGGAGGCCGTGTGTTTTCGAGCAATGAATCGTTGCTTGAACATGGGAAATGTTCAATGGCGTTACGATAACCAAAGGCTTCGGGGTATTTGGTGCAGAGAACCGGAGATTATGAATCGAAGACTCCAAAATTGCAGAATATGACGAGTTTCTTTCGGTGTAAATAACTCTAGAAATCAAAGAGGATTCTTGGGGATGATATGAAGAAAGACAATCAAGAAAATCCTCATGGCTATCAGCCGAAGAAGATGACCATCCCAACGAGAAAACAACAATGAAAAGCAATGGTAAATGGTAAACAGACTTCATTTTTCTTTTTCTGGAACTGATGGATTTGTTAAGAGTTGAACAAGACAACTCCATATTTATAGAAGCAATCCATTGAGCCGCCATGTGAACAAAACTGAAGAGCTTTTGTACAAGTTTGAATAAAGAAACCCAGCTTGTTTTTGCTATAAAAAAAATCCAACGTAATCGTCAAAGTTCTCTCTTGACGGCGTCATACAACTCATGCATGATTCATGAACGAGTTTTTTTTCACAATTGAACACGATTCATCGAGTTGTGTTTTATTACCAATACAGTGAAATTGTCGGGCATTGGACATAAATCTTTGAATAATTCTTGTATACGTGCTCTGAATGTTGACCTATGGGTAATACTAGGGTTTTTCTTGACAACAATATGGAAGATGCTTGGAACAAGGTGGACACAGAATGAGGAATGGTTTTTGTTCATGGTAAGAAAATGAGAAAGTTATTTCTTTTTATTCAAAGTCACCAGAATTAACTTTTCAAAATTGAAAATATTACAATCTAGAAAATCAAATACTAACGAACCAATAATTTAGGGATGGGTATGGGTCGGGTCAGATCGGATTTTCGATCCACCCAACCCGACCGAAAAATTATAAGCACCCGACTCAAAAAGTATGCACCTTCCACCCAATCCGAACAAGACTCGATTTTCTGAGATAAAATCCGAACTCGACAAGACCTCGATTTGAAATAATATATATATTAAAAATATTATTTTTATTCAATAAAAATAGGGATTTAATTGAAAGAAAATAAAATATAGATGAGTATTATTGCAATTATCTCTAAATATATAAGATAAAATTATAATTTTTTGGTTCGAGTTGGGTCAGATTTTTGTCACCCTAAATCCGAACCTAACCCGACCCAAATATAACCTTAATAACTCGATCTGACCCAAGCCGAAAAATATACACCTTCCACCCGACTTGATTTTTTGAGATAAAATTCAAACTCGACCCGACCCGATCCAAAATAATATGTATTAAAAAATATTATTTTTATTTAATAAAAATAGGGATTTAATTGAAAGAAATAATATATAGTGGAGTATTATTGTAATTATCCCTAAATATATAAGGTAAAATTATAATCTTTTGGGTCGGGTATTTTCACCCTAAATCCGAACCCGACCCGACCCTAACATAACCTTAAAAACTCGATCTGAACCTACTCGAATTGGACCCGAAAAATATACACCTTCCACCCAACCTGAACCCGACTCGATTTTTTGAGATAAAATCTGAACCCGACAAGACCCAACCCGAAATAATATATTTATTGAAAAATATTATTTTTATTCAATAAAAATAGGGATTTAATTGAAAGAAATAATATATAGTGGAGTATTATTGCAAATATCCCTAAATATATAATGTAAAATTTCAATTTTTTGGGTCAGGTATTTTTCACCCTAAATCCGAACCCGACCTGACCCAAACATAACCTTAAAAACTCGATTTTGACCCGACTCGAACTGGACCCGAAAAATATACACCTTCCACCCAACCTGAACCCAACTCGATTTTTTGAGATAAAATTCGAACCCGACCAGACCCAACCCGAAATAATATATTTATTGAAAAATATTATTTTTATTCAATAAAAATAGTGATTTAATTAAAAGAAAAATAATATATAGATGAGTATTCTTGCAATTATCCTTAAATGTATAGGTAAAATTACAATTTTTTTGGGGTCAGGATGGGTCGGGTATTTTTCACCATAAAATCGAACCCTACCCTACCCAAACATAACCTTAAAAAACCCGATCCAATCCGACCCGAACTCAAATATTTTTATAAAAATCCAACTTAATCGAGTAAAGTCAAGTCAAAATCCATCAGTTCGAGTCTTATGGCCATCCCTAGTCAATATTGTGAATTTTTTTTAAAATAACGTTTTGTATGAATTTATTGATATGGCACATACAAAATATTGATAACGAAATTATCCTCGTTAAAAAAACTTCCGTAATCCTAAAAGAATTAAAAAGAGTATATCATTTCGATATTGATACAAAATAGCTCGTACTCGAAATCCATCCTATCAACAGCAAAATTTACCCAAAAAGGACCTCACAATTTGGTAAGATTGCCATTGTGAATTTATGATGTTGTTCATGTGCTTCGGTAAAAATTTTGACCAAAAAATTTGGTAAGATTGGGGTGAATCTTTATTCACCCAATTTACATTATAAACATGTTTTAAAAAATAAATATTTAACAAAATCATCTTCGATAAAGCACAACTTACATTTACAACTTTCTTTTTTAAAGAACACTACTCACATAGTCACGATTTCTCAATTTTCACTCAATTATAACACAGTCCTAGATTACCTGGCAAGTACAACGAGAATTAGATAGGTTTAGATCCACTTGGTGATGAGATGAGAATGATTTTAGTCTTAAGAGTCAGGTAGGGACGAATATAGGATTCTATATAAGGGGGTGAACTTGAACTTATAAAATTTTATGAGCGAAAATATATTTTTAATAAAAAAATACATTGAGAAAATCTAAAATATATAGTAATTTTAAAATTTTATGAACGAGCCACGGAACAAGATCCACCCGTCTTCCCCTCTCGATCATTCTTGGAGTCAAGTAAAAATGATTTTAGTGTTACAGATCAGGTGAGGATGATTTCGAGTTTTACAATCGTGACGAGCCTTTTTTTTATCGATGAAGCTCCACCCGACCTCCGTTCCCCCATGTGACCTAAACCCATGAAATCATGACCGATCGACGACCGATTGATGATGAATCAACGTTTTATATTCCGCAAATCCTAGGATGGAAATCATGATCCCACGCGATTCCAGCGGCCAATTGATGGAAACTACGATGGCGTATGAGTAGCAGGATGGCAAGGACTATGCCGATGGCTGTGATCGTGGCTGGAAAGGACGGCAGCGGTGGATTAAGGTTGGGATTTGAGATTGTTTTATAATATAATAAAAGTTATTTCTTTTTATAAATATCATAATATTTTTAATATTATTTTTGAAAAATAAGTTTCAAAACCACCAGATTGTGATATGTGTCACTTAACGGGGGAAATTAACACCGTTAACGGCCTGGACACCTAAATGGGTAATGTTTGTAACTTTAAGCACCTAGATGAGTTAAAAAAATAGTTTAAGCACCTATTTGGGAAAAAGTAGTATAATTTGGGTACTTATTTTGGTAATAAGCCATAAAGTTAATAGAAGAAATTAAAATTTTAACGTATTTAGATATAGAGATAAAAATAAGAACAATAACCATTAAAAATTTATACATAAAACAAAAATATTAAACTCAAATATACGAAGGAAAACGAAACATTCCATTGAGAATGTCATCTAACATTAAAAGAACCCAATAACATTCATAAAATTCATTTTCTCTGTTGAACGAGATGCTTTACGGAGTGACAAAAGAGTGGTGAGAAAACCAAACAATTTGGCAGGCTGCTTCGTTGCACAATTATGATTATATCAAAAAATAACATTTTTATCGAAAAGGGGATCTAACAATAAGTGACTACCAACAAACCAATTAAAAAACAAATGTTGTGAGGATCATTGTGCGAGCAACAACATGACTGCAAAATTATACGAAAAAAATACAAAAAGTCATAAGGAATGTGCCTCAAGAGTAAAGAAAAACATGTCGCAAGAGTAGAGAAAATTTTATCACAAGGAAAAAATCCTTATCTAAAATTGAGAAAATTCAATAAAAAAACAAAAGACATAGTATAAAAATAATGAAAAAAATTATAATTATCTACTATCAACAATTAATATTAAAATTAGTGTTGCTATTGGTTAAACAAAGATTGAAAAGGAAGAGGAAAACAACAAAAAGATATTGAGAAAAAAAACTTAGATAAGAGAAAAGAAGACTTTTATGTACAAAGTTTAGGGATGTTAAAAAAAATCCCACCCAGTTGATCAAACATGTCGACTTGAACCTAAAATAGTCAGGTAATTCTTTAAAAAAAAATTATTTGATTTAGTCGGGTACCCGATCCATGATTTTTTTCGAGTAGTTAGACTTGGTCTGGGCCGAAATATTTTTATAATCAGGTATCCGGCCCGATATTTTTAATATATATAGTATAAATTATATTTTTATTTTATGTTCCTTAATATTTTTATATTAAATTAAATTTAAATCCCTAACTTTTTCTTATGTTTGTTTTATGGACTTTTAAGTTTTGAATTTTTCAATTTTCTTTATTAATTTGTCAAAAATGGGATACGAAAGAAAAAATACAATCGATTTTTTTAATGTTTTCTTTTTGCAAATAAACTTTATATATATATCCTTAAAACTAAATTCAAATCACTAATTTTTTATATAGATTGTATATTATGAACTTCTAAATTTTCATGTATTTCCTATGTGAATTTTAAAAAATAAATAAAAAAATACATAAATCGCGTGGTCGTGACTCGAAAATATGAGTACCTAAACTTAACAGACCGAGTAACAAACTAATAAATATACTACCTGAGCAACCGGGTACACGATACTTCACACACCCAAAAACGGGGTATCTGATTTTTAACACCCCTAACAAAGTTTGCATTAATATATATATATATATATATATAACTTGATCTACATAATGAATATTCTTTTTTTTGAAGTGAAATAATTAATATTTAAATCCATTTGTATTAAACTTACTCTGATAGTCCTAAATTCATGTGATATTTTGATCAAGTTTCGTCTTTTAATTTGAAGTTTAATCTTGATCTTGTTAATATACATATGGATAGATATCTATTAATAATTATATCTAATATTTTAATCTTCAACTAATTAAAAATATTCTATTAAAAACCTTATTAAAATTATATGTCTAAATTAATATATGGGATTAAGATTTTATTAATCAATCCATTTTGTTAAGATTTCATTAGCTGATTTTTTTAGATTATACTAATTATGTGATATTTTGTATCCTAAAATTTTATGTATTTGTAATGATGGTGAG